TTAATTCAGTTATTTGTAACAAATTTTAGTTAATTGGCCATATGTTGGGGGGAAAAAACACTGCAGTAATTTCTCCAACATAAATATTTCATATCTACAACCATAGTCTGCAAATTTAAGCCCAAGAGTCACCACTCGTAAACAATGTCCAGTGAATGATCGGCACGTGGTCACACTGCACTGTGAGAGGTAATTGGTTCTGTGGTCACACGGCCATGGTTTTCTGCAGCAGTTTTAACACTGCTCATTGACGTTCCCATGCCACATCCCAGACATTTGTTTACTCAGAGGGACTAGAGAAAGCACATATATACTATCCTATTCAGTATAAGTTTAAAATTACTATAATACGTATAGGAAACTTTCCTGTGGAATTAAAAATTTCATACATACTTAAATTTAATAACACATAAGTGTCTATGTAAGTAAAAACAGGTAAACTACGCTATCAATTTTTTAACATACGCATTCAGAAAACCTGCTCTGTTATATAACAGACTTTTGACTGTAATGGACACCCCCTCACCAGAATTAGTCCATTATTTCACTATAACTTCTCATTGTCGCTTTTTTAAAAAGTCACTTGACAGGCAGTGTGAAGCTATTAAATTTAGGCTGAAGATAAGTACCTCCTTTAAATATGGTGATCATCTTTTAATCAAAGGAAGGGAACTAAACTTGGATTCTGCATACTCTGACCCCAGTGCATTTTAATCACACTACCTTTGATATTTGCTTTCATTTGAACTGCAATTTGCCCCACTCTGTCTGAATTATCCTCAGTTTGGTTCTAGAGAAGACAGAATAAATACATCCCACCTTATCACTTACACTAATTACAATGAAAAAATCTCTGGTGTAAATTACAGATCAGATAATTCTACCAAAACATGAGATACAGCTGATGGTGAGGCTCCTGTTTTGTTTGGTGCTTTATTTGTTGCTTGATTGGCTTGGAGGGTTTTACATTTTTGTGGGCGGTTTTTGGTTTGTTTGTTGGTAGGGTTTGCCTCCAATATATTCTGGCCTGGGTGCCAGAGTAACCCCACATGTGCCAATGAAGACAAGCAGAGACGTTGGGACACATATCTTTTTATTTTATCCTCCCTACTCCCGATGAACATCAGCAAAGAAGACGCGCCCTCCTTCTCCCTACAGAACTGCAGCAAGTGTGTTGTCTCCACACACCCTGCACCAAGGCTGGGGAGATTCAGTGCCACTTGCCCTCCCACAGGCAGCCATCCAGTCCCTGAGAGAGGATCCCTGTTGACTTACCTTGCTCTATACCCGGTGAGTGCAGGCAAGGACACAGAGTCCCTCTCTCTCCCCATGGCCACTGTACAGACAGACCTTGCAGAACTGAGCACTAAAGCCCTAGCTCTCTTTACAAAAGAGCAGAAAGAGGAGCCTTGGGAATCGGAGACTGAGGAATGGATTGCATAGGGGCAGGAGCTAGAGAAAAGGATATTTTATTGGAACTGGCAGAAACTTCATTTCTTTAATAGGACCTTTTCTCTTTGCTTTCCTTGTGACTCAAAGTGGCCTCATCCAGGATCCTGACTTAGCTGTCTCCTTCTCCTGCAGGACCACTCCCTTCCTCAGTAAGCCCTCAGGACAATGAGACCCTGGTCAGCATTAAACAATCTTAGGAACAAAGACTTTGCTATTGATCACCAAGACAAGTTTCAATTAAATATAACATCTATGCTTCACTGTGTCTCAGCTCCAGACCCAGAAAAGTGGAAAGATCACATTCTTGCAACACCAGATGAAGCTACCCATGGCTGCCATCAGGACTAAATGCACTGATCAGCTACCCCCAACCCTAGCACAGCCCAAACAGTAGAGACCATGACCCTGACCATGACCCTAACTCCCTTAGTCGCCATGATTAATGCTTTCCCCCTATGTAACCATCCCATGGAAGCCATCAAAAGAGGTCTTTGAGCAGGAGCTCACCTGTGACTCAGTATGGCACCAGATCCTTAAAAATAAAACTTTACTTTCTTGGCTGTAAACTCCTGTTCACATTGCTTGGGCTTTGATGTGCACAGACAAGCAATCCCCTTTAGTTCAGTAACAGAGTCAGCACAGAGAAGATTCTGAACACTTAACTTTCAGATTGACCTTTGGGAGAGACACGTGTGAGATGGACTAGAGTAGCATTGCAAAGGCTTTGAAGACTAAACTGATGCTGAAAGCACAGTCCATAGAAAGTGGGTAAAGAGATATGGTATGATCTTGACCTCTTGCTAAAATAAAAAATTGTAAGAACACAAATCCAGATAGTTTATACAGAATCCAGAATCTCATAATGCAATATTCAAAATATCCAGGATATAAATCTAAAATTACTGGACTTTTAAAAAATAAAAGGAAAATTAATAATTAAAAAATATGGGGAAAATTTTAAATCAAAGAAAAAGAAAAAATGAGGAAAAACTAAATACTGCTTAAGAAAAAAGACAATGAGCACATGCAAACCCAAGATGACCCAAATATTAGAATCACCAAATATTTTAATGCAGCTTTTACAACAGTGGGGGAATAAAATTTGCATGAATTTCTCCTGTAAAAAAAAAACAAAAACAAAAAACTGGCCACCAAAACCGATTTGGCTCAGTGGATAGAGTGTAGGCCTGCAGACTGAAAGGTCCCAGTTTTGATTCCTGGTCAAGGGCAACCTTGGTTGTGGGCACATCCTCTATAGGGAGTGTGTAGGAGGCAGCTGGTTGGTGTTTCTCTCTCATTGATGTTTCTAGCTCTCTGTCCCTCTCCCTTCCTCTCTGTAAAAAAAAATCAATTATATATATATATATATATATATATATATATATATATATATATATATATTTTAAAGCTGTGGCCTCCTGAGAATTTTAAAATACCCATGAGAATCAGAGTTGCAGATATTTGTCTAGTTAATTGCTCTGATCTAACAGGATAATACACTTTTTCTAGTTTCCCTGAGAGGGCCAAATGATTATTGCTTAACCCCTAGGTTAAACCCCCAAGGTTCTAGGGAGACTGGTTCACTCTCTTCCTAGATATTTACATGTCAAAAAGATGAAGCCTCAGAAACATTTCTAGGTTGCAAAGCTTGAAGACAAAGGGTTATCTTGCTCCAGGAGAGATTTTATTTACATATCAAAGAGTTGAAGTTTGGATTCAGGCCCTTAGATTTTCAACATGGCTTTTCTGGAGGTGAAAAGGTAGCTGCCTCCTTCCTCTTTATCATCAAAGAAAAATCTTTTTCCTTATTTCTCATCTAGGGAGTGTCTGGCTACTCGTGTAGGGACCTTTCCCATCAGCTCTCATGGGTTACCTAGGATTAAGATCTGGGGTAAGAAGATGATGCCACACTTATTATTAAGAAATCTGTCTATTATCCAGAGCACATCTTTGCACATTCAGGATAAAATTAACAAATGGTCCAAGAAGTATGGGCAAACACTTTTAGAATAAATGGAAACAAAATTTCTTAGGGAAAAAACTAAATTTACAAAAATGACTTAAAAGAAGAGAGAAAAGCTGATATGGGGCAAGTGAAAAAAGAAAAGACAAAACAAACAAACAAACAAAACAGCTAATAAACTAGTAGACATAAATATATCAATAATTAATCAAAATGTAAATGATCTGAAGACTGGATAAAGATAAAAACAAGATAAATAGTACAAGACTGGATAAAGATAAAAACAAGATTCAACTATTACTATTTCATATCTACAGGAAATCCACAGGAAGCATAAATATCCAGATAGATTCTAAATGAAAGAATGAAAAAGATAGATGACAATATTCTATAAATATTATCCATAAAATATAAAGTTGCTATATAATTATCACACAAAACTAACTTTAGAACAATGAATATTACCCTTTTTTAAATCAGCATACTAAAACAATAATGCATTGCAACTAAGTGAGGTTTATCCCAGCAATGAAAAGCTGAACAGCCCCCCCTGCCGGCCTGGTCACCCCCAACTGTTCCCCTCTGCTGGCCTGGTCATCCCTAACTGCCCCTGCTTTGTCAACCTGGCAGCCTCATACTGCCCCACCCACTGACCTAGTCGCCCCTTACAGCCCCTTCCCCCAGCATTATTTATAACTGCCTCAAGCTAGAAACAATCCAAATATCCCTTAATGGGTACATTACTGGTTGGCACAGCCATAAGATGGAATACTGCACAGCAATATGAAAGGACAGATTACTGATCTACACAGTTACTGGGATGGACTCAAATGTATTTTCTTGAGTGAAATAAGCCAATTTCAAAAAGTTACATACTAGTACTGTTTTATTTCTTTATAGGACATTATAGAGAATGTATAAACAATGAAACAAAAAATTCATTGAGTACCAAGCATTAGAAATAGAGAGGGTCAGAGTATGAAAATGACATGAGGGAATTCTTTGATAGTGTTGAAATTTTTCTGTATCCTTTCTATGGTGATGGTTATAAAATATATACAAGTAAAACACTAAAAAACAAACAACAAAAAAACCCTGTATTATTATACAACAAAAAAGTGAATTTTACTCTATGTAAATGTAAAATATTAAAAACATTTTAAAAATCTCTTCTCAGGACTTTGTGTAACATATATTGGCAAAAAATTCTCCTGATTTAATAGTATAATAAAATGTTTAAATTTACACCACTTTAAGACTATGAACAAACCTGGTTATGAAGCAGGAGAAAAATCAAGAAGCTAGAAGCAATCAAGGAGCAAGTATCAAAAGACAAGTGTATACAGACTGCTCCATAAATAACATATACATAAAAATTCCGTACCATCACTAGGACAGAAATGGCGTGGTGTATGAAGAACATGAATAACCAGAGGAGAAGGTGAGATAGCAGAGTAACCTAGCCTCTCCTTGAAATGAAGGGTGTGGTGATTTTCCAGGTTGAATAATTTAAACTCAGTACTGACTTTGGCTCAACTCTGTTCCAAAACAGTACCCAGCATAGAAGATCAACATTCATCAATACCTCTTCAATGGCACCTGCAGAAATCCTGTGACCTGCAACATTTATCACGTCATCAACTCGTGACATAACATACAAATAACCTTCTTCATCCATGTAACCAGCATCCATGGTATCATAATATCCCTGAAAATCAGAATAAAAAAATCTCTAATTAGCATATACTATTGGGTAATAAAATCATTTCAAGGCTGATAAAATGTATAAAATGTCTCAAAATTAATTTATTGTATGCATTTGACTTTTTATTATAACTAGCCTATGAAATTAAATTACTTTTGATTAGTGAAAGCTTAATAGAAACTCTTTGCTCCACTAATAACCAAGAATAAATTAAAATGTTCTTATATGTATTTTGAATTAAGCTTTTGGTCTTAGAGTTGTAAAGTTTAGGAATAAATTTCTTTTTTTAAAGTGAAAAGTAATAGCTCAACATTTCCAATTTGGTATTGCCAAGTAATTCTTTGGCAGATTTATTCTCTAATTGTGCTAATAATTAAAAGCTTTAAATCTCTCTATGAATAATTATAAAACAGAGCACAGTTTATTAACATGGATTAGGATTGAAATCTTGCTTCAGTGAAACATAATAAAGCAGTCAGTATGAAATTAAATTTTTTGCCGAAACCGGTTTGGCTCAATGAATAGAGCATCAGCTTGGGGACCGAAAGGTCCCGGGTTCGATTCCGGTCAAGGGCATGTACCTTGGTTGCAGGCATATCCCCGGTGGCGGGTGTGCAAGAGGCAGCTGATCGATGACTCTCTCTCATCGATGTTTCTAACTCTCTATCTCTCTCCCTTCCTCTCTGTACAAAATCAATAAAATATATTTAAAGAAAAAAAAATTTTTAATCAGCTCCAGGGAGCAGTACCTCTTCACTGGTCCAGAAGTCATGTAGAATGAAGAATCAAGAGTAAGTATAAAGAAATAAATATTATGTTGCTAATGCCTCTGAGTTATCTTGACACCTATGTTTGTGAGCATGGGCTTTGGAACTGAGGCCAGCGAGTCACTATTTGTGTTTCTGAATCTTCCTCACACTCAGTATGCTCATCTTATAAGGCGTTTTGAGCCATAAAGGAGATGGTGCATGTAAAGAGGACAGACCCTGCTGCATCATGAGTCCTCAATAATTGGCACTAATTGCAATAACGACTGCAATTACTATTAGAGAGGGAGTATGTAGCATTAGTTCAAGAGCATGGACTCTGGAGCCAGATTATATGGGTTCAAATGTTAGCTCTGTTACTTCTAAGCTATGGTCAAGTCACTCAATCCTCTGTGCTATTAACCCCTTAGATGAGCGATTTGAGATCAGGATAACAAGACAGAGTACAGACTCACTATCTATAGTTTAAACATAAACTGGGACATTGAAAAAGCTTTCAGTGTTAAAGGTGATCATGTTAAAACCACATGCATGGAGTATTTGCTTTTGGCAGGTTGTAATTAATCATGCTAATATTCTGAGGACTGGACTGATCTACTGGACTGATGTCCATTATACTAACAAATCTTCCTTGCCACAACTCCTCAGGTCTATTTTTAATCTTGGCCACTGAGGCCATTTACCTGTGAGGTCTCTTTCTAAAGGAAGCTATTTTAATTTTTGTCATTTGTCTAGTTGATTAGGTTAGCTGTCATTCACTCACAAATAAAAAAAAGATAGAATGCTAAATACTTTGATTCACTTTTTCCTTTTAATAAAACTGTGAACATTCTCTTTACCTAGTGCATAGTGAAGACCACGTATCTCTCTCAAGGAAGGAAATAGAAATAAGATGACAGCAAAAAGATGACTGTGGGACCTGATGTGTATTATCAATAAAGTTCTGTAAAAGACATAAAACACATGACCGTGGCACAGAGGAGCAGGTACATTGTAAAACAGAAAACAGAATGACATTATTTGTTATCCAGTTCACTGGGTGCCGAGAACAGTCTTTATCCAGTATCTATATTTTTAAATGTGATTTTAAAATAAATAACTCAGAGAATACACAGAAAATAATGTCAAAAATACAAAAAGAGATGGAAAGATACAACTTCTGACAAGTCAATTGTTTTTTGCTCAATAACCAGGAGCAGAAATGGTCAAGGGGTCTTAATAACAGTGTACAATTCTGATCTGGTGCTTTCAATCTCAGACGGAGTCCAATGGAGGAAATAATATAGAAAGCCCAACTAAGTTTTACTCCCACAAAAACTTTTTGATTCTGAGGGCTGTTAAATTCCAGGAAAGGTTGCTAAAACAAACTGAGAAAATTTATGTCTGGAGAGTAATAAAAATAAATATAAAAGTGACTTACTTATGTAGTTGAGGCATTATTATCCCTAAAATCTGGAATCTGGTCCAGACATCTTTTCAAAGTTGCTTTGTCATTTACATTCTTTAGGAGCAAGTTGCCAAGAACTATAGAGAAGTCTATAAGAAGATTAAAAGTATAATAAAGTTCTTACAGGAAATTTTTCAAAGTATAAGTGCTTGAACGCTTCCTGATTCTTCCAGAGTCCTGAAAATGCCCCAGGTGGTAATGGCAACCTTAAATAAAAACAGAGCAGTTAGAATTATTATAAAAGCAGTAAAAGAGGGCAGGTTGATTTGAACTTACAATGTTCTAGTGTGATAGACAATTACAATTCAAGTCCTATAATTAAGATGTAACCCTTAAATCTGCTGGATAGATCATATCTAATTGAAGCTGAAGTAGTTGACCTCTACTTAGCAGAGTCATTGAGGGATGACTGTGGTTTCTGGGAAGGGCACACACTTGGCATTGAGTCATTATTAGCAGCAACCACTATTTCAAAAAGAAGTATAACATTTATTTAAAAAGCCAAAAATGCATCACTAAATTACTTTTTAAGAAAAATAGCCTTCTATCATGGTCAAATAAATTCACTTCTTTCTTAGTTATCTTGAACACACCAATTAAACATCCCATGAACAATCTTGTTCACAAGCAATGTGCCTCTCCAATCTGTGAATTCTCTCACTCCTCTCCCTTCAATTATTTCTTTTCATGACCATGCAAACCTAGGTAGTATATATCTCTTTTTTCCAATTAGTCTCCTCTTGATACCATTGTAATTAGCTAGTTATTAAAGAGAAAACGAGCAAAAGGAAGGCCAAATATTATAAGCATGTCATTTGGGCAGCTCTACCAGGAAGCTGCAGTTTCACACTTCCCAGGGAGCCACAGGCCCATTCCCTGCAGATCACTGGAGAAAGGGTCCCCCAAAGGCGAGGTGAGTGCAAGCACAGTGAGTCATTGACATAGGGAAGATGCATGTCAGTCAAACCTTAGAACACAGATTATTGGCTAGAGGGGCAGGGCCACTACAAGTCCACGGGAATTTGGAAATATATAATCTCCTATCCCAGTGGTTGGCAAACTCATCAGTCAACAAAGCCAGATATCAACAGTACAACAATTGAAATTTCTTTTGAGAGCCAAATTTTTTAAACTTAAACTTCTTCTAACACCACTTCTTCAAAAATAGACTCTCCCAGGCCATGGTATTTTGTGGAAGAGCCACATTCAAGGGGCGAAAGAGCCGCATGTGGCGAAAGAGCCGCAGTTTGCCGAAAATGGCCCTAGACAAAGGAATTTGTTCTCTTGTGTGGCTCCTGTGGCTTCTTGGCTCTTGGCTTACCACTCTGTTAGCTCTCTGGTTACTGTGGCTTTGCTCCTGCCTGTGTTCCCCTGTGGCCCTGCAGCTCTGCAGACCCCACATGCAATGGACTGATGAACTCCAGTGGGGAACACAAACTAAGCTAGCCTGACACTGACTGGATGCATGCTCCAATGTGGAACAGAAACTCTGTACTCTAGCTTTGATTCTAGCTCTGCTGAAGCCACAGCTGCACTTCTTCTACGATGGCATTGAGGGAAATGGGACCTTGGGAATTCAGGGGTGTAAATCCACAGAAATAAAACTTTCTATCATACCTCACCCTCCCATGGAGGACTCCAGAAATTCTTATTCCAGCAGCATTCTAAGAACCCCATTTCCATCAATAACACTCTTATATTTCCTTCTTTCCTCCATATGACCAAACAGGTGTTATATACATAGCAAGTGCTTAATATCCTATCTATCTATCTATCTATCTATCTATCTATCTATCTATCTATCTATTATCTATCTATCAATCAATCAATCATCTATCCATCATCTATCATCTATTTATTTACCATCTATCTACATTAATAAAAGATAAATATGCAAATTGACCATACCTCCATGATTCCCATAAGCAATCAGAAGTGAGTATGCAAAATAACCCTACAAAGATAGTGGGCTAATTTGCATACATAGGCACCAATGGAGCAGGATACCTGCTCTGAGTGGGAGGGTGGGGATGAAGGGAGCTACAAGAGCAGCGCTCTGGCCAGAGCAAAGATGGAAGGTGGCAGCCAGAGTGAAGGCCTCGGTCCCGAGTGCTGGAGGAAAACTGGTGCTGGCAGCCAGGGGAAGGAAGGCCTATTGCATGAGTCTTTGTGCAATAGTTTACAAATAAATTAATAGATTCTTATATCAGTTCCCTATAGGAAGTGCCACCTAACAAAAATCATCACCCAATGTGTTTTCTGGATACAAAAACATGTTTTTGTATGTTTTATAGTTTGGAAGTTTAGATGCTGTAAAACTTAAGGATTTTCAAAAACATAGCCTCCTATGTAAAATACTATTATAAGTGAAACTATTACTTCACAGGGCTGATGCTCAGAAAATTGAACACGCAGTAGACAGAAAATTGAACATGAAGTTGCCCACATGAAGCAACTTCATGAACCCTCCACCCCACTCTTAGAAATGGGAAACTGAATTGTAATCTCACTTTCTGTCAAGCAAAAAATGAGAACAGGTTACAAGTGGGATCCAGCTGCAATTGCCCATTCCCACCAAGTCCAGCCTCCCATTAGGATCTCCCTTGTTAGATTTACATCTTGTAATATTTTAAAATGTATGTGAAAGCATTTTGTGATTTGTTAAAAAAACAAAAACAAAAAAACTACAGAGATGTCGCTATGTTGTTGCTGTTGCCTTTGTTCCTATAACTGTTCATGAAGAAACTCAGCAGGCAAAAGCAGGTAATCCCCTCAGGTCCTTTTTATTAATTTTGTTATGTTAATCCTTCTAAACCGACAAGTAAATAATTTTATTTCATCAGTTTCCATGTTAATATTCTATAATCCAGTGTAAAATTATTAATTACTAGAGGCATGGTGCATGAAAATTCAAATTGCTTTTGGCAGGATAAGTAAAAAAGTAACTTTTGCACCAAAAGAAACCCCCTATACTTGAATATATATACTGGCATTATTTATAATTGCCTAAAGCTAGAAACAATCCAAATATCCCTTAATGAGTGAATGGGCACTCAAGGGGGGCATTCCTCAGCCCACCCTGCCCTCTCTCACAGTACAGGAGCCCTCAGGGGTAGGAGGCAAACCAGTGATCAGGGGAAGGCAATGCCCCCATCACACATCTGCTGTTGCCACTGCTAACAGGGCAAGCTTCGGCTGGCCCTGTTACCTGAGCCTTGTACGGCCCTGGGCACTTGGGAAGCCGCTATCCGATGCTGGCAGCCATGGGCTAGCCCTGGGCAGCTGGGGGTGCTGAGGGAACTGGGGAACTCCAGAGGCAGGCACTTGGAGCAGCCAGACCTGCCTGGCAATGGGCCCAGGCATGCCAAGTGTCTGTTTTCCCGGCCGGGCTGAGAGGACTGGGCACCACCATCTTGTGGCTGTGGGCAAAGCCATCTTTGAAGGCGTAGCATATTCCCTCCTTATTGTCTGTGGGCACCACCATTTTTTGAGGGTGTGATGGTCAATTAGCCTATTCCCTCTTTATTTGATAGGATTAAATATTCAACTGAAAATGGACAATGGCAACCACTAAAAATCATTCTAAATATACTAGCAACATTTTCAAGGATAAAGAAGTGAAGGGAACAAACACTAAGAAAAGATGATGAATCAAAATTCAATCAAAATCCAATAGGGACTAAAAGAAATATAATTCATGAGTAAAGCCAACTAAATGTAAACAGCAACAATAAACCTTATGGAGAGGCATTCTGCTTGCACATTAAATGACAAGTAATTTTCAGTTGTTTCCAAGAAATACAGTATATCCCCCCAAAAAATATATATATATTTTGAATAATTATTAATTCCAATGTGTTAAATCTGAAAAGAAAGAAACATTAATTGAGCTATCAGCTGTTAAGTGTGTATACATTTTTGGAGACCATTCTAAATATGATGCATAGTTCATTCTTTCATTTTTGGTGACTTTTTAAAAATATGTATAGTTTTATTGATTTCAGAGAGGAAGGAAGAGGAGATAGAAACATGAATGATGAGAGAGAATCATTGAGTGGCTGCTTCCCATATGGCCCTCACTGGGGACACAACCTGGGCATGTGCCCCCTACCAGAATTGAACTCAGGACCCTTCAGTTCACAGGCCAGCACCCAATTCACTGAGCCAAATCAGCCAGGGCATGGTAACATTTACCGTATTTTCCGGCGTATAAGATGACACTGTGTTCTAGTAAAAGGCCTGCTCAGATTGGCCAGAGTCAGAGAGGCAGTCTATTAAAAAAAGAACTGGTATTGCTTCGGAAGTGGGGGGTAATCTTATACAGCGAATATAGGCCTAAACCTATGTTTTAACTGTAAAATTAAACGCCGGAAAATACGGTAAAAAACAAAAACAAAAACACAACGGTATAAGAACATATTTCCCTACAATAAGAAAAGTAAAAGGTAACTATAACAAAGTGTGACAACTGACATTCAGGCTGGATTGGGGACAATAGAGAGTAGTGGGGTCTGAGGCACATTAGAATGCACATGTCAGGTTTAATGAGAGCAGCTGTTTTTTAGTTCCCACATGATTGGTGATATTCAGATATTCTGATCCAAATTCTTAAGCACATATCATTGCCCTTACTAAGCATGACGCATATAAAAGGACACACTGTTAAACAAGCATCTCTGTCATTTTATCTCTCTCAAATTCAAGATTTGGTCCACCAGCATCTAGACACTATCTCGTCACTGTAAATGGAGATACCTAAGTGTTTACAATAATTATCCAAACGAGTTAATATGTAGTGTACTGAATATTCCCTGGTGGTTTAATATGTACCTAATTCAATGAGTATATATGGGACCAAGAGTTTCACATTTTTCAGTACAAATGTTATTGGCAAGAAAGGGAATATCTTACACTTCCCAGAAGTTGAATACATTTACCATCTCTATTCTTCAAAGATCCCTGATAATCTTAGCTGGTTCACAAAACTTTAAATATCTGCTTAAATTTTCTGAAGAACAGAAACAGTATGTATTTTTATACTATCTCTCTTTCCTGTGAGAGAAGTCTACATAAGAATATTATATCTATAGACCTTGAAAATTAAGAATAATGTGTCAAGGGTAGTTCTAGGGAGAGAGTGCAGAATAAGGAGAAATTCAAGATCAAACACTAGTGTTAAAGAAGAACCAAAAGAAGAAGACTATTG